GTTCCATCTCTGCCTTAGCCTTCCTAATAACCCCTCCACAGTCTTGAGCAACAGAGGTATAATCCTCTTTGGTGATAAACCCTCCCTTCCACTGGGTGTACACCTTTTTAGCTTTCAAACATTCCTGAATGCCTTTGGTGAGACATGGGGGCTTTTGAGCACTCTTGCCCCCTTTGGTTTGCATTGTGACTGTCACCCTTTGGGCATGGAGGATCGTCTCCTTAAGGAATGACCACTTGTCTTGGACTCCCAACTCCTCTACCCCTCCGGGACCTCAGTGCCTCTCCTACTAATCTCCTTAACTCATTGAAATCAGCCCTCCTGAAGTCAAGGGCTACTGCCTTGCTGCAGGCATTTGACACCCTGCCCTGGATAGTGAATTCCAGTAGGTGAAGATCACTATTGCCCAGGTGGTTGAGAACCCGCAGTCCCCTCACCAGGTTGTCGCCTGTGGCCAGGACCAGGTCCAGCAAGGCATTTCCCCTGATGGGACTGTGCACCTCCTGGGTTAGGTGGAGGTCCTGTATCTCAGCCAGGAACCTACGTGAGCGGTCAAACCTGGCTGACTGCTCCTCCCAGCAGATGTCCGGGTAGTTTAGTCCAGGTAATTTGCTTTAGTGACCTTAATTATAGACAGATTAATCTCTGTAAAGTATTTCAGAGACACAAAGGGCTACCAACTGCTTACTGCTGTTACTGCAGCACAGCATCAGGTGTTTAACAAAAATAATTGTTAAGAGACAGTGCAAAGTTGTAGGTGATATTTTATTGGATTAATCAGAAATGGTAGCTAATTTAGTGGAGAAAGGTTTTTAACTCATAGAAACAGAAAATGATGTCCTCTCCTTGGCATGGACCAAGTACACAGGAATAGTGGCACAAGCAAAGAGGCTTTCTTCCTCAAAAGAGCATGTCCTCAAAGGTAAAGTTGAATCATGGCTAGAGCAGCATGAAAGCTGACATATGGAGATGTTCACACACTTCACCAAGACTGGCATTTCATTCAGTAGCAGGCTGTGCTGTGCACTTGAGACCATCACAAACAACATCATCACAGACTTCCCCACCAACATGCTTCAGCCTTGACCTGGAGACAGCATACACCCTGGCTAGTAGGGCTGTGTGGAGCTTCAGGTGGTGATTTGATTCAGAGGAGATTCGGCCCGATTCAGTGGCCGAATCTCTGAATCTGAAGTGAATAAGGGGACCAATTTAAAGGTCCAAATTTATTCAAAGCTCTCTGAATCTTTGGAAAAGATTTGGAGAGCTTTGATGATTCGGGCAGTTCCCGGTGGCTGTAGCAGGGAGCTGCAGCTGACTTGGAGCTGGTAGGTACTAGGGGCTGGGGGAGGGGACCATGGGGGGACCCCTGCCAGCCACCCCAAC